ACACACACACACAAAATAATTAAATAAGGTTTAAATCACAAATGACGTTAAGCTTTTCTGAGGATTTGACCCCCCCCCCCCTCTACCCTATGTCACAAAAAGTCAGTCGCCTTACAACCCCCCCCCCCCTCCTTTATATGACGTCACACCTCAGCCTACAACACTTGGTAACATTAACTACAGCAGTAGAAAGGATTATAACTATATGTTTTATTTGTGTGGCTTCAAGGTGTATCACACCATTCAGAATAAAATGTAGCCTCTATATAATTATCTGATGTGATTTTGTATACTCCCCGAGCTTTGCTTGCAGAGATAAAGTGGAAGTTATATAACAAAACAAACAGCACACTCGCCATGGGATAGCCAACAGATTTTTTTTACAGGTATGGGTATCTTAGTTACAACACACCACTATTAGGCATCATTGTATTACTTATTCCAAAAACTACAATAATATTATGCAGCTAGATGATACTAATAAAACTCAATATCATACAAAATAATGAAGAAAATATCTATATCAGATGGTTAGAACTCAGGTTAGGGTTAGTATAAGAGTGAGAGTTAGAGTTAGAATTAGAGTTAAAGTTAGAGTTAGAGTTTAAATTAGAGTTAGGGTTAGGGTTAGGGTTGGGGTTAGGGTTAGGGTAAGGGTTGGGGTTAGGGTTAGGGTTATGGTTAGGGTTAACGACGAGTGCTTGCTATTAACAAACATGTTCGTAATATTCATATTTCTTTTTTGTGTAGGTTACATTTATAATCGCACAAAGTATCAAAGTAATGTTGTATGATAATTTTACCCCAACCCTAAAATTGATCAATTTTTTAAAAAATCTCAACATGTATCTATCTATAATGTAAAAAATAACCGCTAATTGAAGAAAACAGCATGAATAATCAGTAAAGGACCTGCTGTAAAAGCAAAAAATTGGCTTTTTTCTGAGCAACTTGAACATTCGAACTCATGATTCATCTTATATTCTCTCACAAATATTGTTTACACGGCAGAGTAATAGCTGAGTAGGTAATGTAAAGATCAACCTAAGAACATTTGTTTGGTAAAGACATCTTCTATTTGTATGCCACCCGCCAGAGGCGTAGCGACCCTTCCCGGCGCCCGGGGACAAACTTTTCGATTTGCACCCCCCCCCCCCCTCAAGATTTCGATTTGCACCCCCCCCCCCCCCCATCAAACTTTCAATTTGCACCCCCCTCAACCTTTCAATTTATTTTTCCAACCCATTTTGGCACCCCCTGAGCTCGGCGCCCGGGGACATATGTCCCCCCCCCCCCACCCCCCCCCGCCCCCCCGCTAACAACCAGATATTAGACGATATTCAACGCTAAGAACCTTATCATTTTAATATGCTTTCTTTTATAATTGTTAGTAATTCAGCCGATTTTTGTTGTTTTTATCTACAGGTCTGCATCACTTTTCACTGAACTAACCAATTTCGATGTTAAGTTCTGCGTGTTTATCACTTTTGAACTTTTACTTATGTAGTTAACAAATGTTACTAACCTTTTCCCTATAAAGGAACATCGTTATATAGTGTAATTATTTTTGACGATTTTTTAGTGTTTTTTAGTCGTTTTACATCGTCACAAAAAAAGCCAGAACCGACATCGCACCTCGCCCCAGTCAAAATGGCAGTTTGTGTTTTCCCCAACCCCTCATCGTCACACATAGTCACATAATTACGATCACCCACTCCCCAGGAGGGTGACCATCAGTGGCGTAGCTAGGATTTTCGGGCCCCTATGCAAAAATTATCAATGGGCCCTTCGTCGGCCGTTAGGCTACAACTAAGTTAAACGTGTGCAGCGGAGAAATCAATTGCTACCAGTGTTTCTTCCAGACTTTTTCTCGGGGGGGGGGGGGGGGGGGCACTTGAAATTTTCGGGGGGGGGGGGGGGGGGAGGCGGACACTGTTAAAAGTATATATTTTCAGTACATATTTTCATTATAGATTCCAACTCATTCGGAAGGGGGGGGGGATAGACTCTCTTTGGGTGGGTACTGCGCCTGCTCGCCCCCCCCCCCCCTCTTCCCGAAGTGATGCTTGGAAGAAACACTGATATCTACAAGGGAGGAGTTTTAAATAATGTAAATTTGTATTTTATACGTCCTAATTGTGTATTTATACTGTACTTTATTATTATATACTGCACCGTTATGTAAAATATATTGCGTCACAAGGCAAAGGTGCGGTCCACATCCGTTAGCACCATTTAGTCGTGACACCATAACAAAAAATTGTACTGTCAAAACTGTTAAAATACTAAAAGATTAGAAAGAGAGGGGTGACAGCCCACCGGATGGGGGGGGGGGGCGGAAAAGGTGGGGTGAGTTACCTTCAGCAGAGCCGGCGTTAGGGGGTGGCCCTAGGCCCCGCGCTTGAAGGGGCCCCGCGCTTCAGCACTGTCATTATTATCTGAATTAGTTTGTAAACTTAAATAAGTTGTTGCTGAATTCAATTGGGAAAAACTAAATGGTCGAATGCCGACGTTGTTGATTGTTATAACTGAGGCCACGGTTGATGTTGGTGAGTCCCACCTGAACTGGGACAGGCCGTAATTCGATACAAAAATAGTGTCACACCTCCCCTTTGTGTAGGGAACGGTCGCATGGCATTTGACCTGAGCTGACTGGAGATTGTCGGACGCGAATCAGCCCCCCGACCTGACATGGGATGTAAATTTGGGAAACACGTACAGAGCAGTTTTTTTTCGGGGGGTGGGGGGGGGGGGCTTAGGAAGAAACTCTGGTAAAGAGATACCCTATTGTATGCGGACCGATGAAGACGTCCTTTTAGTGAGCAGACGGGATGTCTGTAGTAGACAGTTAGTGACCTGATGAACGCTAGTCCTGACTTTCTTGTTGAAGATGTCGTATATGTAGGCCTACTTGTCTTGGTATATAACAAAATTAACATTCAGTTGCGTGCAGAGGGGTGGGAGGAGGGCGAAGAGAGGGGGGGGGGGAGGCCCTTAGGATCTATATTAGGGGGCATTAAACAGGGTGATTTATTATTATTTTTTGGAAGAAAGTTAAAACTGTTGTTATGTTGTGTCATCTTAAGGATTGATCCGTTCCAAGACAGAATGATCATTACTTTACCGTTTTCATCCAAATTGTTTTATTCAATCGTCTTCCAGTGGTGCTGACATGATAGTCAGCGAATTGTCCTCGTCGCACAACTTTGTAAAAATCGTCCAAAAAAGCGTGACGTTCTTTATGGATGACCCCTAAGTCCAAGAGCTATCAGTGTTTTTCTATTTCTTTTCAACTTTAATTACTTTAGATTTGTTGATTTTGTAATTTGTCTAAAATTCTGTGCTTACTAACACTATCTCTTTTTTTTTTTTAGATACACCTAAAACGCATGAATTTTATATTAACTATAAGTCATTAACAAACAATTTAAAGAACTTTATTTTCCTAATTTTTTGGCACGTGATTGAATTTTCTTAAGTGATTTGGTATGAATTACATAACTGTCAAAAGTTATTTAATATCTTAGCAAGGAAAAAAAACTAAGAACATTGGGTTAAAACATGGGAGAGATAAACATCTGTTATTAAAGTGGAAAGTTTGGCATTAGCTTATAAACTCCAAAACATTTATGTGTTGTTATGTGTGCATGCACATTAAATAAGCCTATATATATATATATATATATATATATATATATATATATATATATATATATATATATATATATATATATATAGATATATATATATATATATATATTTATATATATATATATATATAAAATGGAAAAAAGCAGGCCCCGCGCGGATGGTTGGCCCTAGGCCCCGCGTATTCCTAACGCCGGCTCTGACCTTCAGTAAAGGCTCAGGGGGACAGCCGACCTTGTGACCACTAATCAAACACAATTTTAAAATTTTGTATCATGGTTTATTTAGATTTGATTTCTTTTTCATGCTTTTAAGTTTGCAAAGTGATTAATGAGCTTCTTGAGATCTATTTTAGCGGACCAAATTACTGAATCAATTACAATTTGTTTCATAACATTATCATACTATGCAAATAATCAGATTTTAAAATCCCATCATAAACAACAAAATTTTCTTCTCTATCACCATGGAATGTTAAAGAATTTTTATATGGAACTGGCGTACCCGTCCGCATTGTTGTAACCTAGTCGTACATATTAGGGAGTCAGAAGGGAGATGCAGGTTCCTGGATAGGGCGGGAGGGGCGGTTTAGGGAGTTTCCCACTCAGTTGAGGTTTTTAGCGATACATGTAAATGTACGGGTTCTGGATGTCGTATCTCACAAAAAAGTCAAATTTCAAATTTATTTATACGTTGATTCTCTGAATAGCTTGCCAGAACTGCGGCAGCGCCTGTGGTCTTATTAATACGGGGTGGTCCCCTATCGAAGACACCCCTACCCCACACTCAGCGACTGTGATGTTATTAATGTGGGGTGGATGGACAGTGGACCCTGTTTGACGCCACCCCTCCCCCACATGCAGCGCCTGTGGTGTTATAATTACGGCGTGCTCCCTGTTCGACGCCCCTATGCCTTGCTTACTCTAGCTTTACGGTAGCTACGCCACTGGTGACCATGTGACATCGTTTATGGACGATCTCGTTCTATAAACAGTAAGTTCTATAAAGTATAGGATATATATGCAGATTTTCAAAGAATTGTTACAATAGGTGATATAAGCAGAAATTTGCCATGCGGGGCTGGGGTTACCCATATATAAATTCATATAGGACAATATATGTATATATATATATATATATATATATATATATATATATATATATATATATATATATATATATATATATATATATATATATATATAAAATGTTTATTGTTAACAATATTAGTGAGTTTACTTTGTTAAAAAAGTAAATCACAATATACATAATTATCATGGGAAAAAAATATTTTTTCACCTGACATAAACTGTGTAAGAAAATCTGGCCTTCCAATTTGACCTTTCACCTTCGTGTTGTGGCACTAAGGTTGAAGAGTAACACATCTGTGTTTTTTGGATAAAGTTATTTGTATTTGATTATTTGTATGCTGTTCTTTTACTGTATTAATTCTATAATTAAGGCACAATATTTTGCACATATTCATACAAATTGTTTGATTGTACAAGCAGTATTGTTAAGTTTAGGAACTTTAGTGTTGAACTTGCACTACTTGCACTCAGTGAGAACTTTTACTTTACTGAACTGTACTGTACGGTACTACTGTACGACTGTACGTTCTTGTAGGATCTAGATTCTAGAACTAGATAATCTATCTAGATTCTAGATCTAGAATTTTCTAGTTAGAATCTAGATCTAACTTGATTTTCTAAATCTAGACTAGATTCTAATCTAAGTAGAATCTAGCTTAGAAGTAGAGTGTAGAGTAGGCCTTTTATTCTAATCCTATGCCTATTGTAATTGTTTTGTGTGCCATTTTCTAATAGACTACAACAGAGTGAGTGAACTTCATGAGTAGATCTAGAATCTAGATCTATTCATAACTGATAACTAACTTGTCTCAGTGCTTAGTGTACTGTGTACTGCAGCAGCAACTATTTCTATAACTAGATCTAATTTCTAAATTAAAATTTTAATTTAGAATTTAAGCCAAAGTAAAGTAACTACATAAATCTATATCTTATTATCTAGTTACTTGAACTTTACCTAGGCCTAATAATTAATAACTAACTAAAGTAACTGCTAAGACTTAAGACGCCAACATCGACATAGATTGTAGAACTAAGAACTAAGTGGGGGTGGGTAGGAGGGTAATCATAATCAGCTGAAAAACTACCAAAACTTAACTTTGAGAAACAGCAGTTCACACCTGTTGGCCTATGTAGTAAATATACTATAGAGCCAATAGGGGTTTGGCTGGACTATATATCAAATTATTACACTTATCATTTATGTTTCAGGCTATATATTATATAATCAGTGTACTTGTTCACATCCACACTATTACACTACGTTATACTTTATTTTCATTGTTTGTTTACCAAAGTTAAAGTGTGCACCTGATGTTGTATGGCTTTGCACTTTGTTTAGATTATGCTTTAACTAACTCCACATAGCCTATATCTAGTTAATTGAGGTCTAATTAAAAGTGTGTTGATTAATTAAATATCTATATATATAATTCTCTTCTGGGAGCCGTTAGAAAACAAGCTGCAAGCGTGCCTTTGCAGTCCCCTCTCTTCCTCTCTATAACTACGTAATATTTAATATTGCTTTGTAATATTATATTACAAAGCAATCTTCATTAGAGCTGTCATACTAATTTGATTTTACTGTAAATGCTTACAGAACAACCACTTTCTTTTACTTGTTTGTGTGAAGCTAAAGCAGTGTATTAGGGGGTCTACTAAAGAAAGCAAAATTATTTCATAATAACCCTTATTTATCACTGTAGTTTTATCTAGATGTCATTTTTTTTTAATAATTTGCTAACATTTTTTTTTCAGTACTCATCCCCAATTTTTAAAAAAGATGGTTATTCTACGCCAATTAACCAGTGTTAGCTTGGTTATAAGAAATGCAGCTGTTAGGAATTTTTCATGTAAGTTCAAACTTTATTTTTTGTATCATACTTTATTTGCCAGCATAAATAAGGGGCTTAAAAAAAACAGAATATCTAACAATTAATTAAAAAACTATTTAACATTTTATCTTATTGAAGAAAGTCATTAATATAAAGTTAACAAATAGGCCACTTTCATTTTGTGTACATTGGTTTGACTTTTATTAGTGGGTAAAAACTTCAGGAAGTCTGAGTGAAATAAATGGAAGTTTGTGTGACTTTTTTACATGCACTATTTACATTGCACTATTTTTTTAACTGGGGAAAATTCAAACTTGTAAGCTAAAACATAACAACCATTTGACTAAATATAGAATTACCGTCTACAGTTGATTGCATAACCAAACTAGTTAAAACCTGCAGTGTTATTTAAGTCAAATCACCCTAACATTAGTGACTTATCATCTTGGGTAGAGCTGACTTGCCTTGACTTGTTTTGAAATTACTAATGAACAACATGTTTTCTCAACATGAATTATTTAAAGTAAGCTTGGGTGAAAACAGATCAGAAAGATTTAGAATATATTGTACACAATTATCACCCAAGTAACAATCTTCTTGTATTTGGTAACCAGTATTTTTTGTCATTTGTTCATTTTAGGTTCATCAAGATTTCAGGTAGATATAAATCTATAATAATAGTTTTGCTGTCTGTGTATGTATCTATCTATCTGTGTATCTATCTATCTGTTGGGTACGCTTTTACTGTAGAGAAAACACAACACGTGACGTCACCTGGAGCAAATAAAAATAGTAGAAAAATAGTCTAAAGCCAGGAGAGTGCATAAAATAATATGACGTCATTGATTCTCTAGTAAACATTGAATTAAAAGGCCAATTTTGTCTAATCTTAAACGTGGTTTTGCAGTAAAACATCTAATCCCTCCCCCAGTAGAACCTCTAATCCCCCCCCCCCCCCCAGTAGAACCTCTAATCCCCCCCCCCCCCCCCCGGTAGTCAAATCCCTTCCCCCGGTAGAACATCTAATCCCTCCCCTCCCGCCACCCCCCGGTAGAACGCCTAATCCCTGCCCCGGTAGAATGTCTAATCCAGTGGTTCCCAACCTTTTTCGAGTGGCGACCCCCTTTTATAAAAAGTAAGTGACCCGCGACCCCCATAGAATTAAAAAGCCGAAATTAGTATGGAAAGTAATAAGCACTATAATAAGATTTGCTAGTAGACTTTCAATATGAACTACTCTTGATAACTGTTGTAATAGCATGAGTAAAATTGCATACTATTCACTAAACCTTCGTGGTTAAGTTTTTAATTTAAAAAAAAAATTTTAACGCCAACCTATGTCATTATAAGTATCTTAATTTTGTTTTTAATCAAAGAATAGTGTTGAAAATATATTCTCGAAAAGTCAATAAATTTTACGTTTGGGTATGAATGGTGAATACTACACCAAAATTGCGTCTGCAGTTTTTCATCTTACTCGGAATCATTCTGCAAATCAAAGAATTCATCTTGTAATTCATCGGGAATGCTGGCAACATCAATGGAAGAAGAGCATGGATAATGCGTAAATGCAGATTCCTCTTTTTTCAGCTCAGAGAAATAGCGATGCAGTTCGTTTTCAAGAGATTCAAAATGCCCATAAATCGCTTCTTTCAAAATTTTAATTATCTCCCAATCAGATTCATCTACCACACCGCAGAGTTTCTCAAATTAACAATATTTCCAAGATTTATTTTCTTTACCGATTTTGCAGCTTTGATAAAAATGCCCCGAGATTATCATGGAAAGTTGTAATATTCGTTCATTTTCCCTGAATCTTCAGGTTAAGCTTACCTTGATGTTCGAACACATCTGCTAGGTATGATACTCTCTTAAACCACTCTATGTCGTTTTAAGTATACCAAAAAGTCTCGTTTCCTTTGCACTTTCAAGAACAATTTGATTTCAGATTTCAATTCAAAAACACAATTTACAACATTTCGTTTGACAGCCAGCGTACTGTAGTGTAAAAGAGCAGAACGTGATCTATATTAATGTTTTTGCTCAGTTCTTTGAAGGCTCCAGATTTCATATAATTTACGACTTATACTAGCAATGGACTCTTGATGTCGATTGGTTAGGGTAATGGTTAGGGAGCTAAATCTTTTCTGTTTTCTGAAAGCCCGATTTTGAGCTAAACATAGATGGCGCACCATCCGTACAAACCCCCACAGCCGTTCTAACCCATTTTAAGCATCCCGTTTAAAAAAAAAATAGTATTTATTTTTTCCATGCTATCTTCACAAAATAGCAACTCTTCTTTGCTATTATCCGCATGAATATAGACACAGACTAGCAACTGCCAACACGAACTCACGTCTGTTGATTTATCAACTTGAAAAGCAAACAATGGTGAAAGCTTAATTTCAATAAAAATGTGTTATTTAACATTAACGTACATGCAGCGTTTGATGAGATTTTCTCCTATTTTTTTTTTTTTTTTTGCTTGGCATTTTCTATCGCGATTTTATTTGATGCTTGCACTAATGCTGGTGAAAACTTCCTGTTCGATCAAGTCTCTGGCGTTTGCAACTAGCTTCTTACCGACGAAAGAACTCCATATATTTTTGTGTGTGTTCCGAATGACTCGTCTCAAATGACGTTTTAGTTTTGAAGATTGTATACATGCGTGACTGAGAACAACTTTGTACAATGCGCTTTGTTTCTTCTCTATTACATTTCCAGTGATGTTAATAAAGCCGAATTTCAAATTTTTTTCTAAATATTTATGTTTTGTTTCAAACTACTAAGGTTTAGTATACCAGTTGGCGACCCCCCAAAAAGACCTTCGCGACCCCCAGGGGGGTCGCGACCCCCAGGTTGGGAACCCGTGGTCTAATCCCTCCCACCTCCTCCGGTAGAACGTCTAATCCCTTCCCCCGTTAGAACATCTAATCCCTCCCCTCACCCCTGGTAGAATGTCTAAGCAACCCCCACCCCCCCAAAAAAAAATACAATTTGTATAGAAAATATATACTTTTACCAGTGTCAGACCCCCTCTTCAGAAAAATGCTCTGCAGTAAACACAAGGAAAAAACTTTCACAATCAAAACTGAACTTCCCAAAGCTATGCGAAAAAGAATGACGTCATTTAGTCTTGAGTATAAAAGGAAAATGAAAATTTAATGACATCATCAATATTTAATCTCTCGACCTTTTTTGTTTCCTGCCTACTCTCTAACAAGATTACTCTCTAGCAAGAGTAACAATGAAATTATGTCAGAAAACAAATGACGTCATTTCAAAGTTAAATTTTTGCTAAACAAGAATACCAACAAAATGGTTGTTTTGTTTTAAGCTGCAGAGAACAATACAATCAATAAAGGTAGGAAGTTTTAAATTGCGTTTATCTTATATTAGTAAAAGCAAGGCTACTCTTTCGTACCTGATAATCCTCAACAGATGAGGAGATGGTGTGATCAGCATTATATACCCATCTGTCTTGACTTTCACTAAAACGTGATTCAGGTACCCATTTCAGTTTAGAGCTGGGTGGGCTAACGGGCGTTCTACGGACTAAAGCCCAGGATCCGAACTCGACACTTGTGTTAGCAGTTCGATCACGTCTTCCCGTATGGTTAAAAAAAAGGTTTAATTATAGATCTAGATTTAATGTTTGATGATAAAGACCACACATTTAGAAGAATACTTATAGTTTGTTACATTATAAGCTGTATAAATAAAGCAAAATTCTGAAGAAATATTCATATTTGCGAATGAAGGTGTTTACTAGAACAAGTAAGATTTTAATAAGTACAGTCAGGGATTTTCAAAGTTCCGAAAAATGTATCCAATATAAAACTTAAGTTTTTCCATTATATGTTTTAGGACTTGGAATATAAGTCAGAATTTCAGATAGGGTAGTAATAGTAGAGCATAATAGGTCAGAATCTGTAACATTGATGTTCTTCTAAGAAACATAAAATAGCGATCTCTCTAAATTTCTGACATTGTATAAATAAGTAAATAATTATTTTTCTCCAAAGATTAACGACAGCAATTGAATGAACACCACTGAGCCAATGTCACACAATTTGGTACTGGAGGAAAAGACGTAAAGCTTAAGAAAAGAAGGCTCGATGGAAAGCCAAACAAGATGAAGAATCCATTGCTAGAATTTGGGCAGCAGAATTAGCGGCTCAAAAACAAAGCCCAGAAGTATGCTGGGAAGATGTGCCGATGCAATGTCGATTTTCTCTAAGTTCAGAGCACCGGATCTTTTTATAACATTTACGGCAAATCCAAACTGGCCAGAAATCATGGAAAATTTGCTTAACGTTGAAGCCATGCCAGATTGTCCTGAGTTGGTAGCGGATGTTTTCAACTTAAAATTCAAATCACTGCTCAATGAACTGACCATGAAATATATTTTCTGACAAATTGCAGCCTGTGTATACACAATTGAATTTTTAAAAAGAGTCTTGCCACATGAACATATATTAATTGTTCTGACATCGGACAATAAAATTTCTACTATTGAACATATAGATAAAACTGTTTGTGCTGAAATTCCATCCGATGACCCTATTTTAAGGAACATTATACTGCGCTGCATGGTCCATGTGGTGTTGCCAACTCTAAAGTGCCCTGCATGGTAGATGGGCAATGCAGCAAATTTTCCCCAAGCTGTTTCAAATGGAAACACATTTAAATGAGAATGGATATCCTTTGTACAGAAGAAGACAAGGCATAGAAGTTGAAGTTAGAAGAACCAAATTAGATAACAGTTGGGTTGTTCCCTACGTTTTCCTTCTAAAGAAATATAATGCTCACATAAATGTTGAAGTGTGCACATCAAGGCGTGCCATCAAATACATTTACAAATATATTTATTAAGGCTTTGACTGCGCAAACATGATGGTAACAACAGGAGAGAATGAACAAAATGAGATCGCGAACTACATCGATGCACGTTATGTCAGTCCCCCAGAAGCGATGTGGCGTTTGCTGGAATTTAAGATGCAAGACCAATCTCATGCTGTGGTTAGACTCCCAGTTCACTTGCCGCACCAGCAAAGAATCTTTTTTAAAGAGGGACATGAAATGGAAGCCCTGGAAGCTGCGCGCTCTGGCAAGACTAAACTTGAGGCTTGGTTCGAATTAAACCAAAAAGATCAAGCTGCTCAAGCCCTGTTGTATACAGACATTCCAAACCACTATGTCTATGGCAAAAACAAATGGGAGAAACGCCCCCTAGGTGGAGCTAAAATCATTGCTAGAATGTACATGGTGAGCGTTAAGGACGAAGAAAGGTTTTATATGCGCATGCTCTTGCTTCATGTCCCAGGAGCCACACATTTTGAATCCTTAAAAACAGTCAACAACCAGGTGTATGCCACTTTTAAGGAAGCAGCCTTCCATCGCCATCTCCTAAGCAGCGATGAAGAGTGGGATAATTTTTTAAAAGAAGCTGCAACGTTTCAAATGCCAAAGGAGCTCCGACAGACATTTGCTTTTATAATTGTGTACTGCAATCCAACAAATGTGCGCGAGTTATGGCTAAAGTACGCATGGGACATGAGCGTTGATTTCCTTCGTAACAACACGCATGAGTTTTCACTGAACATGGCGTTGCATGACATTGACCATGTGCTCAAACAGCATGGACTATCGTGTGCGACAGTTGGCCTACCAACACCAACAGGTAGCCCACTAGACTACAAGTTGTTTAATAACGAAGAAGGACAATTGGAAGGCGACACAAGAATATCTACCATGAATGATAAACTGCGAGAAGCCGTCAGTAAAAAAAATCGAGGCTGTTGAGAACCCACATCAAAATAATCGCAATTTTTTTCTGGATGGTTCGGTGGTTCAGGGAAAACATATTTGTATGCTACGTTGTTGTCCTTCTATTGAGGAAAAGGACAAATAGCTCTTCCCTTTGCAACAACCGGCTTAGCTATAACAATGCTATAAGGTTGAAAGACCGTTCATAGTGGTTTCCAGCTACCTGTTCCACTCCTGGAAACATCCGTTTCATCAATGAGAGCAGCATCGCCAGCCGCTGAAGAGCTACGCCAAGCTGTACTTATAATAATAGATGAGATAACCATGTTATCAAAGTACGGGCTTGGGTGTATTGATTTACTGTTGCGTGAGGTGATGCTTATCGATAAGCCATTTGGAGGAAAAAAAACATTGTTGTTGGTGGTGATTTCAGGCAAAGTTTACCTGTTGTCCCGGGTAGTAGTAAGGTGGATATATTGGAGAGTTGCCTCAAGTCCAGTCCTTTTTGACCCAATTTCACATAACTGCCTCTGACAGCAAACATGTGCAGTGCAGGTCAAAACATGCACAACAAATGGCTCTTAGATATTGGGTGTGGCAGAACACCTAGCCTGCCAGGACTACCCGAAGAAAGTGTCCAAATTTCAGATCACATGATCGTGAATGACAGTTTAGTTGACTCTTATTTTTCCAGAAACCGGCATATTCACCAGCATTGAAGAAATAGCTAAACATGTAATTTTAGCGCCAACAAACAAGAAAACCCTGGAAATAAATAGCCAGATTATTTTTTAAATCCCAGGAAGATGCCACGAATATAATAGTTCCGATTCGGCAATATCAGAGGATCCTAACGACAGTCTGAATTATCCGCCTGAGTTCCTCCACGAACTGACTCCATCAGACGTGCCACCACACACACTGATGCTGAAGAAAGGAGTTGTCATAATGCTGCTGTGAAATTTGAACCCCCAGCAAGGACTGTGCAATGGAACTCGATTACTAATTACCCATCTTCACACCAATGCCATTAGAGCAATTGTCCTTTCAAGCTGCAATCGAGGCTGTGTTGTGTTGATACCTAGGATAGATTTGGCTCCAAGTGATTCGAATCTGCCATTCACTCTTAAGCGTCGGCAGTTTCCAGTAATACCAGCCTTTGCCATGTCTATCAACAAGTCTCAAGGCCAAACATTTGAACGTGTAGGGATACATCTTGACGAGCCTGTGTTCTCGCATGGGCAACTTTACGTGGCTTTATCAAGATAAGAGAATCCTAGTCAAGTTAAAATATTTGTCAAAAATACTGTATTTCAAGGTAAGAAAGAATAGATTGCATATACAAAGAATGTAGTCTATCCTGAAGTTTTGTAATTAGGTAACCATAGTTCCAAGTCATTAGATGTAAAATACTTATTTGAAACAATTTATTATGTAAAGTATGTTATTCTAAAAAAAACATGAATGTATCAGTTGTTTATATTTAAGTTAAATCTCTTTTTGAGTAATAAATATCACCAAGGATCAAATGATATTCTATAAATTTCAACTGATACTCATTTGCGTAATCTAAAAACACTTGACCAATTGTCTCATTAAAATTATATTATTCTAAATAAAATGTATTTGTCAAATAAGCATGTTAAAATACTTTTAAATTATTTCTCCATTTTCATGTAATTTGAAACAACAGGAATATATAAAATGTGTATTTTTAAGTGTATATATTTTACTGATTGAAAAAAAAATCTCTAACCACTCATAGAATCTATATTTTGTACTAATACTTTTTCTAGGCATGGGAAAATATTTTTGAAATATGACTCCTTTTTGAAATGTAATGCTGAACAATATTATTAACTGGAACATTTATGTTTAAATGAAAATCTTATAGCAAATAATAATGATCTTGACATATCATAAAATACAAATTTCTAATTCATAAATAGTCTTATTTTGAAAATTTAAATACAATGTATATACATACAATGTATATTTATAAGTTGTTTATTTTTTATTTAACACCTCTTATTGATCGAATAAAATCTCACCAGATAATATAGAGTATTAATTACTATTCTTTCTAAGAATGTGAAAATACTTTTGATATATGTCTCCATTTTCATGTAATTCTTAATAATATGTATGCAAATGAAATGTTCATTTTTTTTTTAAATTTTAGATCTTTCAGTAAATGTTAAAGATCGCAATGATTCATATAAAATCAATTTTTTTTCAGAAAAGTTATGAAAAATTAAATTCTTTTTTTTTAATATATTGTTGAAAATATGCATATGCATTGAAAGTGTTTTTTTCAGCTTAGATCTTAGGGTAATTGATAAACAACTTAACAGATGTGCATTTAGTTAATATTCACTCAAGTCTTCTTTATTGTATGTAATTCTAAATACAATTAATGTACCGATTATGAATTTTTCAGTTTAGATACACATTTTAAATGATCATAGATATAATTCTATAATATTTGTAATTGATACTCAAGCTCAAAATGTAAAAATATTTTCAATGTTTCCTTTAATTTATGTAATTCCACAATTATGTTGTATTGGTTGTTATGTTCAAGTGTAAATCTTAATGATGTTTTCTTTAATTGGTTATTTATATTCATATATTCAAGTGTAAATCTTATTAATTTATTCTTATTTAAATAGAGCATATTATATATATATACATGTTAACAATCTTTTGAAACAAGTGTGTTTTATTTTTTTAACTAAGCAATTATGTATGCTTTAAATGTTTATGTTCAAGTTTTGATATTGTATTCGATTATAACATTCTCAAGGATCATTAAATAAATGTTTTAACTGATGGAAAGTAAATTTTATAAAATGTTTTTCTTTATTTTGTGTAAATTTGTAAATTAAATCACACGTTATATCAGACACAATTGAAAAAAAAAGATGTATTTTTTTACGGATCGGTTACTTATAAAATGCTTATAACCTCTGGATGAAATCTAAAATAGTAAATATCAGCCTAGCGCCCGTTGTAATCCCCTCGCAACGGGCCTAGTATTTAAGTATTTTTATATTTATTTAGATAGATATTTAAATTCCTATAACATTGTTTTTTTTATAAAATTACTTTATTTTGAACCATGCTCTTCACTCTTTAAAGTAATAACTGAACAGCTTAAATATTTAGATTGTGATCAGCATGATAACATTATGTCTCCCTAGGCAGAAGAGTCCCCTGTAGGGTTTGTTGGTCTAGGAAATATGGGAGGACACATGGCCAGGAATCTTTTAAAGAAAGGTTACCCAGTGGTGGCATTTGATGTCTCTAAGTCTTCTCTTGATGCCCTGAAAAGTGACGGTAAAGCTCAGTTTGTTTACTTTATTCAGCAGTTCACCTCAAATTGTCTTTGCTAGTTTTCTTAAATCATAGCATAAAGGTAATATAATATCTTGTGATATTAAAAAAGGAAAGATATAAATGTTTTCATTATTTTTTAACATATTTATCATCTGTCAATGCTCATTGGCGAACAAGGCATCAACAAGTCAGTGCCATTTATTTCTCTAGCAATAACCTCTACTTGTTGGAATGTTAGGTCTCTTTCCTTCAGTTCTTTTTCCATTATCTTTTCCATGTTTCTTTTGGAAATTTTGTTTTCACTTGTTGTAGTGTTCTGTTGTAGTTTCTGTAGCAAACCTTTTTTTTTATAAGATATCTATCCCTAAGCTAATTCTCTTTGTTCATCCTAACTTGGGACAGGCAGTACGTGATCTAGTTTAAGTTAAAGTTTTATATTCACCCTGTATTAGGTGCCAGTATAGCCAACTCACCAGCAGAAGTAGCTGCCAATGTCAGCAGGCTGGTCTCCATGTTGCCAGCTAGTGCTGAAGTACAGGAAGTTTACACTGGGAAAAATGGCATTTTGAGGTATACTTGCTTTGGTGTTAATTCTTACATGGTTTTCTACCTAGTATTTTTTTTTTCTAAATACCAATTCAATAGCACTTTTAAAACTTTATTTCCTATAAAACATATCTAAGTGGTATAAAAGTGAAATCAACTTGCTATTGTTGTTTTTTTTTTTTTTACATTAATACTTTATTAATAGACGACCCATTTTTTAAGTAGATTTTTTATATTATTTATATTTAGTATCAGAATGATATTCTTCTTGTTAATCTTCATTGTTCTATAAATAAATGAGAAAACAATCATCCTTTGCTGTGTTGGTACTAAAAACATCTATTAAAATATTAATTCAGTCAGAATATGAAAATAACACTGGGCCTAAAGAGTTAATAAAAAAAATAGAATAATATATTTTTAAATACATTTTGCTCACCTGTCTTTTACAGGCCTAAAATATTTTAAGTTCTTTAATTAATAAATGGTAATACTTCCAGCACTGTCAAGAAAGGGACACTACTTTTGGACAGCAGCACCATTGACCCCTCAGTATCACAAGAGGTGGCTGCTAAAGCTCAGAAAATTGGGGCTGTGTTTATGGATTCTCCAGTCTCTGGTGGTGAGTTTAACATAAACAGTATTTTATTTTCTCATTACTGCTCTAGTTCCTACATAGATCTGCACACAAATTATTAGGGTAGCTAAAGTAATCTTTCATTATAAACTGGATGTTAGGTATAGTTTTTAAGTAACAAATAAACTGGTTATTATCATAACTATATCTATACATAGTACAATTTTTCACAAAATAACTCTCTAAAAGAATTTTGTTAGAATTGCAAGATTAAAATATATAAATAACATTTTATTAGCAATCAGATCTGTGTATACTATGGAGAGATGTTTCTGTATTGTCATGTTTATGTTATAGTATTTTTGCGTCGCCTAGCAATAGAGAGCTAGACTGCTAACCCAAAAGTCTTGAATTCAAATCCGTGCTCAAATCAGTAGAACATCCCTGATTCCACTCAGCCCTTATGGGTATCTAACTGACGTTAAGGAAACAAAAATGGTTGGGCATAGTGCTTACCACATTATCCCCCTGTATGCTGAGTTCATAGAAACATATAAACTCTACTTCATCTGCCCATGTGTCTTTGGCACAAACAGAAAAAGATGATGGTTTCTGCTACATATGTGAACTGTAATCTTGATGTCCTACTTCTGTAATCTCAATATCTTCTCTCTAACAGGAGTGAATGCAGCCAGAGATGGAGTGCTGACCTTTATGGTGGGTGGACCAGAGTCCAGCTTTGAACAAGCCAAGGCTCTACTGGACAACATGGGCAAAAATGTTGTCTACTGTGGCCCAGTGGGCACTGGACAGGTCAGTGAAAATATTTGGATGTTTGCTTAGAAGAATGTATCAACCTGGTTCTGAGAGGGTTTGAGTAATTTCAATAAAAGTATTGCTGTTTTATTTAAATATTCTTATAAAACTTAATTTTGTTATGAATTCAATGTATTTAATATTGTTAATAATTTAGGTAATCATCCAATATTTGATTTAAAAATCCTGTGTTGATTTTTTTTTTGGCATGGCCTCTAAAATGAAAAAAAAGACATTTAAAGGAATTACTAATAATGCACACAGATGTATTAATTTGTATTTCAAAACCCAAAAGCATGATCAGTATAATTAAATTGTTTCATCGTTCATCTTCCAAAATTTTATACTAATAATACAATAAAAAGTTGTTTCAAAATTGATTTGGCCATGAAAGCTGTATAAAACAAAAGCCTTTAAGAAAAGTCTTATTTTCAGCTACATTTGGTTGCCCAATAGTACAATTAGGCACTTCAAATTTAGTCTTATAGTGTGTATCCTAAATGAATATAAATGTTTTTAGATTGCTGTGTGCTTAATATTTTCCATGATGTGTTGTATTTTACAGATCAATTATAATATTCTATTTTATTCTATGATATGTTTTTCTACAGGCAGCCAAGATCTGTAACAATATGCTACTTGCAATATCTATGATTGGAACCTCAGAGACCATGAATCTGGGTATCAGGTAAGAATTCTTTGTATTTTAATAAAAGATAAAGGTAGGCAACCAGTCTATCTTTCAATGCACCAGTATTATTAACTGTTATCTCCCTTTACTTATAACTAAAGTGCTTTGTTTATTTTTAGTTACAAAATTTAAAATTAAGTTGGCAGTCTTATTACGCCTTGATAAACATAACTAAAATGGACCTTACTTTTTAGGCTGAGCTTAGACCCTAGGAGGATAACTATAATAAGCTACATTTTACACCTTAACCCTTTGAGCCCTGGCCTCCCTGACCTAATTTCTCCCATTTCCTGAGCTCCCAGGCCCAAACCGATTTTCACTTATCTGTTTCTAACTTTGCCTATAACTTTTGAACCGTTTGAGATAATCAAGCCAAATTTGGTATCCAGACTCAGGATCAAACAACAATGCAGCAAGATTCGGAAAATCTTTATTTTGTTTTACAATGTTTGAACAGAACAATGTATATAAAACGAACACATCATTATTGTTTTGATAGAACATAGAAGAAACCAATTTACATTTAGAAATTGTTTTTTTATTATTGATACCTGGCCATACTAGTTCAACGCCAGAGGTCCACTTTTGTGTGATAACTTTCAAAACAGTTATCACTGCCGGACCCGATGCAAAGAAAAAATTCGCATGTTTTGCACCAGTAAACAGTTTTTTTTTGTTTCGGCAAGTCTTTGTCCTTGACAACACGTGCATCAGAACGTACTTGAACCATTTCATTGTCACTGTCAATTTCAATGTCACTGTGTTCAGTCTCAAATTCAACGTCACTATCATCACAATATAGACTAGGAATATTATCTTCTTCATCAGAATCAATAAGAAGTTGTATTGCCTGAGATGCAGTCATTCTACTTCTTTTGTTGATAGTTTGGTCTTTTGCTTCATCTTTTGCACCAACTTTATGTGATGAAGTCGACGGCTGTGGCTCAACTTTTTGTTTCGGCGGCATTGCTACAAAATGTAAACACTTTCACTTTTCCTAAAAATCAATTTTAAAATCATAATCCCGCACTCAAAAGACATATGCGCAGTTTTAGTCAGTTTTCCGCTAATTATATTTAATTAGATGGTATACCGGCCGCTAGGAATATGAAGCTAGATCATCGGGCTGGAAAACCGGCTTTTCGGACATATATGCCCAATGTTGAAGCCGGTTTACCGGCCTGGCGGGCTCAAAGGGTTAAGCTCAGTTTTATTTACACTAAATTAGACTATTTTTTAGACTGGGCTTAGACCCTAAGCTTATAAAGAAACTAAGATAAAATTAGCCCTACTTTATAGGTTGGGCTTAGACCCTAAGCTCCTGGCCAAGATTCTAAACATGAGCTCAGGCCGCTGCTGGTCCAGTGAGGTGTACAACCCTGTACCTGGTGTTGTGGCTGGTGTCCCCTCAAGTAATGACTACAAAGGTGGATTTGGTTCAGCTCTTATGGCTAAGGTGAGCAGGAGATTCTTAAAGTTTTTAACACAAGAATTACTATCTTAACTGAAATAGTATTAATCTTGTGTGAACTATCTCGTAATTTGAAGCATTATCCTTGAAGTTACTTAATGTATTTGTCTCACCATTTGTAATATTAAACTAAAATGTGAATGGTATTTTCATCTACACCAGTACTAGCATATCAGAATATTTTTTCCTTAATTAAAAAATAAATCTAATTAACACTATTATTTTCACTATGAGTATTCCGGTGACCGTAAATAGAAAACTGTGCACCAAAAAAGTGCGGAAAAACATTTTTATTTTCTAAATTTGAGCATCTATAAAAATTTACAAATGACCACATGTACATTGTAGCATATTAAAACACTTTTCCATTAGTATATTTTGCACGTTTTTCTAATGTGCAGTTTTTTATTTGCGCATTTTTCTGGGAACCCTTATTGCTTGTTGGTAGACTGTTACATAATCAAAAAGAACAAAAATGATCTGAATTTAAATGGGTTTGTGTTTTCATTTTAAAAAGTAAATTCTGTATCATAACTTATATTAGGTATGCTGGAAATCATTTATTAATACTTTAAAAAAAGTTTCTTGTATTTTGATTCAATGTCTAAATGTATTTTATTTTAATGAACAACTTTTGAATGTCTCTGCCACCAGGATTTAGGACTTGCTCAAAATGCTGCCACCACGACAAAAAGCCCCACCCCCCTGGGGTCTCTCGCCCACCAGATCTACAGGACAATGTGTAACCATGGTTACAGCGGTAAAGATTTCTCCTCCGCCTTCCTCTTTCTACAAGACCAGGACAAGAAGAAATAATTGCCCACAGTGTTAGCTAGCAGTATAGAATTTGTGTGTGTGGTGTGTGACAGTCCATTTGAAATATCCAGGGGCTAGTGATGTGTATGCTAGATAATTGAACCCAAGTATTGTATTTCCTGTTGTTGTTTTTGTTGTCAGACAACCTAGTGTGTTGATGTTATGTATGTGGTACGTTCTTGTAAAACACCCATTCAAGATGACGATTTGCAGAATTTGCAGATTTACGTATTGTTGAAATCATCAAAGAATTTTTAATGTATAGAACTCTTGATTCATGTCATTTGTGTAAGTTAATTTTTTTTAGATCTTATTTTTTGGTGTATTGAAATAAATAGATTTTTATAATTTAACATTATAATTTAATTTCAGTCCTTTGTACACAATTAAAAACTAGCTATTAGTATATTGATTTATTGCTCAGTGATTGTATGTCAGAAGTTTATTTAGTGGTCTGTATACTTTGTAAATTTTAGCGTCTTTAATATTATTTACAATGAGATATAAAGAATGTTTTTTTTTAATTGTAACTTTATTATTTTTAGAAAACAGTTACTCTCCTTTTTACAAATGTTCAGTATTTTATTTTTTAAATTTATTTTTTGAGCTTCTACTGCTATCAGTGTACTTGACTAGGTTGTTTGCTATTTTTGGTTAAGTTTGATATTTATATTTTATTGATCATTATTCTCTAACTTACCAACAGCTAAAATAATGCATTTAATCAACGTTCCCAACAAGTATTCTGTAGGAAATGAATCTCAACTTTGTCAAATTTTCCTGCATTCTGTGTAACATTTGGGTTATGTATCTTAAACTAAGACACTGGTTTACATTTTTGGTATCTTTAATGTACAGTTGTTTCCTCATCTTTTTTTTTTGTTTCTATAATAAAAAAATATTCTTGGATGATGATTCACTAAATGGCTTTATGTTATGTTTTACAGGTGTTTTAAGTCTTAATCATCATCTTTTCCTTTTCGTTCCCAAGACACATAGGACAGTCACAAAAAGCTCCCTCCACTTTTGTCGGTATCCGGCACTATTCCTGGCAGTCCCCCAGTGACAGTCCTGCCTCTGCCAGCTGCTTCCCCGCTGCGTCTCCACGTCTCCCCTGGCCTTCCTTTTCCTTGTTTTGTGCCATTCCTGTGGTATCATCTGGATTAATTTTTAGGACGTGCCCCATCCATCGCCATTTTTTTTTCAATTATTTTTTTAAACTTCTTCCATTTCTCCTAGTTGTCTATAATTGGAGATGGTCTTGCCTTTTATCCTTCGCTAGCAATTTGTTCGGAAAGAGTCCAGTGATCTGCTAGAAGTAGTTGTTACTTTCCAGCATTCACTGCCAAGCAGTATGACGCTAAGGACATTACTTTTGCAAAGTATGCATTTGGTCACTGAGGAGATTTTGTTTGATCACCATGTTTCAAAGACTTTCATTTGGCTTTAGAGATTCATGTTTTAATTTCAGTTGTATTGGCTCCTTCATTATTGACAATGTTGCCTAAATGTGTGCAATCTTTTACTTCCTTTTCTTTTGTGTTGCTTATTTTAATAGGTCCTTGACTAGATGTATTTTGTTTCACAAATTTGGTTTTTGTTTAGTATGAGTCCAACTCCTAAGCAAAATAATTAAGTCTCTTTAGTTTTTCTTGCATGTCTTTTGACTGCTGGTTAGAAGAGTTATGTCGTCACCGAAATCCAGGTCTTCTAGGCTAGTTATTAGTGTCCATCTGATGCCTCTCGCTGTGTCCATAGTTTTTGTCATCAGTTAATCAATTACTAGGTTAAAAAGGAGAGGGGACAGCTTCCTTGTTTGACTTCTATCGGAACCATAAATGGGTCAGTGATATGACTACAACATAACTTGCATTGAAACCCTTCCTATGTGATTTTGATGGTATTTTTTTTCCAGTATGGGGGAAGAAAAATGCCACCAAGCAGGAGTAGCTGTAATGTTGAACAAACAAGTTTCTGGAAAATAGACGCATTGATCAAAAGTGAATTCAAGATCGAGTTTTAAAAAATTCGTACATCAATCTATAAGTGGAGGACATGAAACCGGCTACAGGACATTAACCCCCCCCCCCCCCCCCACCGGACATTTACCCCCCTGGGGAATTACCCCCACCCCATCAACCAAAGTAGAATCCTGATTCCAACTCCAACTGTATACCAATATATTACCTTAATCCTAACCGTAAGACAAAGATGATGAAACATAAGAATTCACCTCACCCTAAAATAAAACCAAACCCAACACTACACATTGATTTAAGCCTAACCTTGATCTTAACGCCAACCCTAGTCCTAGCCCAAACTCAAACCATAGCTCTAATCCTAATGGAACCTTAAGCTATGACTGGGGATAATGTCCTTCTGGTGGGGGTAATGCCCTGTTCCCCATGGAACCAACCCTACAATTTTTGAACGAAGCTTTGACAGAGTCAACAAAAACCGTTTTAGATACAAAATGAAAAGGAAAGAATGGATCATCAAAAAAAAAAAAAAAAAAAAAAACAATGGGAGAACATTAGTGAAAGGGAAAAAAATTTAAAGAGCAACTACTAAAGAAGGATTAAAGGAACCAATAGAAAAGGGATAGAAAGCAAAGACGAGGGAAAAAAACCTCATGCAGACAAGACAAAGGCAATTACCACGAATTCTATCCCAGTATGAAATTTTGTCTAGCTAACTAAAACAGTATTCAAGTATTTTTTATTTATTTTTTATTTCTAGAAACCAGGAATAAAGTATCACTTCCTTGTATTGGAAATCACGCAAAAAAAGAAAGTTCTCAAATTTTAAAATGTTTTACTCACAAAGGAATTTCGTTATCGTAACTGAAATGGTACTTAAGTTATCGTGTTATATCGGAAATAAAGTAAATTTCCATTTCCGATTACCTGAAATCGTTCAAAAGTGGATAGATAAATGCGCATACGATGTAATACTTATGTATGAAATTCGACCAAAATAATTGAGACCGAACTCAAGATTACAATACATTGTTTATATTCCGTATACGATAAAGTAGGGAGCTGGAAAGATGGGAAAACTGTAAAAGCATCATTTAATTTTTGTTTTTACAACAACAAAAAAGCTACTAAGACGGCAAAGATACACGATAATAAAATGTGTCAATCTTGTTTAGACATATTTTATGTTATAGAGTCCTATATTTTGCATTGCATTGAATAAACCTTGAGCAGTTTCTTCCAGACTTTTTTCTCCGTGGGGGCACTTGAAATTTTCGGAGGAGCGGTAGACTTTTTTCGAGGGTGGGGGCGGACACTGTTAAATACATATATCTATCTAATACTACTAAAAGTCAAGTTTGTTTACATGTTTGAATATTTATTTGTTTTTTTGTTTGTTTGGCTGATTGACTATTGCGCATGGTTGCACTCATCTTGGAGAGCTGTAAAATAGTATGTAGGTAGAGAAAAAAATTTGTTTTAAGACAGACTGTTAATCACACATTTATTTAAAGACGTTAATTAATTTATTGATTTATTCATACGTAGAGTAACCCTATTTTTTTTAAAAGTTTAGAACGACCGCTACACTCGGCGGGACCGTGACGTCACAGTTTTTTGTTTACTCTTTAGTACAATAAAATGGCGGCGTCTATCGAAGAAAATTGTGTTCCCATTCAAAAGTTTAACGCGTTCTAAATCTAATTTACGTTACAGTGTTTCATCTTCTATCTATCTATCTATCTAATACTACTAAAAGTCAAGTTTGTTTACATGTTTGAATATTTATTTGTTTTTTTTTTGTTTGTTTGGCTGATAGACTATTGCGCATGGTTGCACTCATCGTGGAGAGCTGTAAAATAGTCTGTAGGTAGAGAAAAAAATTTTGTTTTAAGACAGACTGTTAATCACACATTTATTTAAAGACGTTAATTAATTTATTGATTTATTCATACGTAGAGTAACCCTATTTTTTTTAAAAGTTTAGAACGACCGCTACACTCGGCGGGACCGTGACGTCACAGTTTTTTGTTTACTCTTTAGTACAATAAAATGGCGGCGTCTATCGAAGAAAATTGTGTTCCCATTCAAAAGTTTAACGCGTTCTAAATCTAATTTACGTTACAGTGTTTCATCTTCTATCTATCTATCTATCTAATACTACTAAAAGTCAAGTTTGTTTACATGTTTGAATATTTATTTATTTTTTTTTTGTTTGTTTGGCTGATAGACTATTGCGCATGGTTGCACTCATCGTGGAGAGCTGTAAAATAGTCTGTAGGTAGAGAAATTTTTTTGTTTTAAGACAGACTGTTAATCACACATTTATTTAAAGACGTTAATTAATTTATTGATTTATTCATACGTAGAGTAACCCTATTTTTTTAAAAAGTTTAGAACGACCGCTACACTCGGCGGGACCGTGACGTCACAGTTTTTTGTTTACTCTTTAGTACAATAAAATGGCGGCGTCTATCGAAGAAAATTGTGTTCCCATTCAAAAGTTTAACGCGTTCTAAATCTAATTTTCTGTCGGTCATAACTTTAACAATATGTCCGTTTGCTGTATTTATTACGTTCCAACACTTATATCAATTTTCAACTGTCTTTTTTCATTTAGTTTTACAATAAATTTCTCTAGATCTAAAGATCAGCTGTCGAAGGAAAGTTATGAATCTAGCCTAGATCTAGATCTAGCCTAGATCTAGGTCACTAGACTCAATGTAAATTCTAGATCTAGACTTAATGTAAATTCTACATCTAGAATCTATTTCAGGCCTTAATACATCTAGAATCTATTTCAGGCCTTAATTATTTTATATAAATCTTTGTTTGGCTAATTTAAGATAAAATTTAATTTGAAAGTTACTACTACTAGACTTAGATCTAGATCTATGCGCGTAAATCAAGTTGCATAAGGAGACTCAAAGTATAGTATAAAAATTCATTTGTGACGTCACGAGTAAATAGCTAAGTTGGTAGCGTAGTCCGCTCTCATGCGGGTGGCACTGGTTCTAGACCAATATGTCAATGATATTTTTTTTTCAATTTTTTTTTTAGATGTGAATGATAAAGTTGCCTATCTGAACTTGGCAGGATACAGGGCAGGTGAAGTAGAGTTCATCTGTTTCTTTGTCCTAAGCATATGAAAGGATAGTGTGGTTAGAGACATGCTTGGCTGGAATCGTTTTTTAAACGATAAAAACATGTTGTCTGAGCTTTGGCGGGACACTGGGCAGGTGAAGTAGAGTTGAGTAGGTCACCTATGAAGTCAGTATATGAAGGGATAGTCCGAAATCGGTGTTTTCGGTGTTTTTAAAAGATAAAAAACAAATTTTTGAAAGTGGGGTCTGTTTTTTTTTGACGATAAGTGACACTGCAGTAGCGTAGCGAGGAGGGGGGGGGGGGCGGGAGGGGAGGCGGGGGGGGGGGGGGAAGGGGAGGTGGAGGGAGGTGGAGGGGGGAAGGGGGGGGGCGGGGGACATATGTTGGGGCGCCAAAATGGTTTGGAAAAATAAATTGAAAGGTTGAGGGGGGGTTCAAATCGAAAGTTTGAGTGGGGGGGGGGGGGTGCACATCAAAAGTTTGAGGGGGGGGTTGAAAATTGAAATCTTGGGAGGGGGGGTTAAAATCGAAAAGTTTGGCCCCCAGCGCCAGGAAGGGTCGCTATGCCTCTGAGTGACAGACGTGATGTTTTTTGATGGATGACCCCCGAAACCCACAGTTATCCAACGGATGACGGGTATTCTAGTATACTACTAAAAGTCAAGTTTGTTTACATGTTTGAATATTTATTTTTTTGTTTGTTTGTTTGTTTGTTTGCCTGATTGACTATCTCGCATGGTTGCACTCATCGTGGAAAGCTGTAAAATAGTATGTAGGTAGAGAAAAAAATTTGTTTTAAGACAGACTGTTAATC